AGGAGAGAACTGACTTCCACTAATTGTCCTGACCTCCACATTATACCCTGGCACAAACGAGTCTCACACACACACACACACACACAATTAACTAATTATTAGTTAATATAAAAATAAATGTGCTAAAAAAATGTAAAGAATATGTTGCAGAAGGCAAGGGAGCCGGCTATTTACCAAATGCACAAATAACCACACACACACAAACACATCTACTTTGATTCCCTAACATATCAAGACCATGCGCTTCTTTTATAAGCACTTCTTTTAAAAGCCTTGTAAGTGTTTCTTTGAGTTTTCAGAAAGGTAGAAGTCTGACTGGCACTCAAGCAGATTTTTATTAGTCTTTTTGTTGCTGTGATAAAACATTACTGAAAGCAACTTGCAGACAGAGTTTATTTTAGCTTACAGCCCGGATGGGGAGTCCACAATGAGATGGGAAGCATGGCAGCAGGTGGCCCGAGCAGGAAGCTGAGCCATCACATCTTCAACACCAAACACCAAGCAGACAGAGCCAACTGGAAGTGGGGTGAAGCCATAGAAATCTCAAGCCACCAGGCGTTGGTGGCGCACATCTTTAATCCCAGCACTCTGGAGGCAGAGCCAGGTGGATCTTTGTGAGTTCAAGGCCAGCCTGGTCTACAGAGTGAGATCCAGGACAGGCACCAAAACTGCACAGAGAAACCCTGTCTTGAAAAAGAAAAGAAAAAATCTCAAGCCCTGCCCAGGGATATATTTTCTCCAGCAAGACTTCACCTCCTACAGGTTCCATAATATCCCACAAACAGCTCCATCAACTAACATCAAGGTGTTCACATACCTGAGCCTGTGAGGGGTATTTCTCATTCAAACCACCACAAGACTTCATCACTGTGTGTCAGCCATCCTCACAGGATTATTAGAAATACGTGCTGGTAAAATACACTAGATAAGAGATTAGAGCGACCATCCAATGAGCCTCCGTGTCTTAAGGGAGAGGGGTAGGAGAATAATAGAACACATGTCCTATGTTAATGGAGGGAGAATACTGGGGGTGGGAGAATATAAGTGGGATGCAGGTAGGGAACTGGAGGACAGGAAAAGGATTAAACAAAAGTAAGTTTGTATAAAAACCCTATTAGGAAATGTGCTATTTTCCAAGCTAATTTAAAATTTAAGCCTCAGGCGATGGTGGAGCACGCCTTTAATCCCAGCACTTGGGAGGCAGAGGTAGGTGGATCTCTGTGAGTTCAAGGCTAGCCTGGTCTACACAGTGAGTTCCAGAACAGCCAGGGCTACATAGAGAAACCCTGTCTCAAAAAAACAAAACAAACAAACAAATTAAGCCGACAGTAGTACTGCATACCTTTAATCCAAATACTCAAGAGGCAGAGACTGGTGGATCTCTATGAATTCGAGAGCAGCTTGGACTACAGAGTGGGTTCCAGAACAGCCAGAGATAAACAGAGAAACCCAACTCAGAGAGAGAGAGAGAGAGAGAGAGAAGAAAAATTCAATTACACTAGGGTTGGGGAGATGGCTTGACAAGTAACAGTCAAGCATGGTGATCTAGGTTTGCTCCCCAGACCATTAAGAGTAGAAAGAGAGAAAATCCTTCACAGCGTCCTCTGAACTCCACATGAATGTCTTAGTACTTGCGCACACACACACCATGCACACTCTGACACAAAACAATTTTAAATTAACTAATTTTTAAAATTTAAAGCATAAATAAACATCATTTAGATTAAATTTCTTTTTTCCTCAATGGTTGTATGAAAATAAATGGTGGCAAAAATACATGCGCTCCTCCTGCCTTTTCTTTCTGAATGACTGGATTACATGTTTCTCTGCCATACCCAACTTCAATACGAGTTCTGAAAGAAAATGATGAGCAGCACCTGGATGCGAAGGTATTTCTTTAAAGGTAAAATGAGAGGATCCGAACTTCAAGACTAGCTAGCCAGCTACATAGTAAGTGGGAGACCTACCTGGGAGACATAAGACTCGATCTCAAGACCAGAAGAGTTTAGACAGATGAATAGGTAAATACCAATGTAAAATCAGTACATAGAAAGAAATAAGCACACCCTTAGGAAAGATCAAGACCATCCATTGTGTTGAAGCAGAATAAAAATGCATCACTATATACTAAAGATCCTAGCCACTATAGCTGCATACAAACACACACACATACACAACTTAAGAAGAATTATTGGAAACAAATTAATCAAACTCATTATTTACAGATAGTTAGATAAAAGTAAATGCTTTTTAAATTCTGGGAGAACTGATGAGAGACAATTATCAACTTGAGTTTTTTTGTTTGGTTGGTTGGTTTTTTTGTTTTGTTTTGTTTTGTTTTTCGAGACAGGGTTTCTCTTCATAGTTTTGGTGCCTGCCCTGGATCTCGCTTTGTAGACCAGGTTGGACTCAAACTCACAGGGATCCACCTGACTCTGCCTCTCAAGTGCTGGGATTAAAGATGTGCGCCACCACCGCCCGGCTCAACTTGACTTCTTAATGCTTATGGTTATAGCCATACATTAGGGGGACACTCAGCCTCCATCTAAGAAGCTCCTTTATGCAGTGGGATTTGGTTGTCCTAGCTAGCTTTATGTCAACTTGACATACGCTAGAGTCATCATAGGGAAAAGGGGAAGCTAAAGAAACCCACCGTGACCCTGGAGCCAGAACTAGGGAAAGATGGCTCAGATTAGGGCAGAAAGAAACAGTTTGGCTCAGTCAGATCAGAGCCATCTCTGCCCCTGGCCAACTGACTTGTGAAACCAACCAATCACAGAGCAGGGCAGTAGAACCCTAAGCCCCAAGTCAACCCCTGGTTGACTCCACCCCCAAAACATCCTGTGTAAACAGCCCTGCCTGGTCAGTTAGAATACACGCTGTTCTCTCCACCCTGGTAGAGGCAGCTACTCTCCTGGAATCCTCCTTCCCAAATAAATCTCTTTCTCAAAAACGTTTCAGGTGTGAAGATCTTCATTCACTGGTGTAGAGAGGATCCTTGCTGAGATGTCCCTCAGTGGACAAAACAAGGGAGAACTGAAGGAGCAGAGCAAGGAGGAGCTGAACAGAAGATCTTTGCTGAACCGTCTGGAGGAGATTACTACATTTCTGCAGGGGTTTCCCCCTTTGCAGAGTGAAGCAAAAGAAGCAACATCTTAGGCTGGAGAAGCAGAGCTCTGCTAGGAAGCTCAGCTGTATCCGCTCTACAGGAGAGGAACAGGATTGTTATATCCTGCCAGGAAACCATCCCCAACCACACCAGGTATACCCTGACTTTCCGGAACAGTCTGGTTACAGTTCCAGGCCTGACTCTCCTAAGAAGTCAGAAAAATTTCCCAGTAGAGCTGGAAGGAGGAGCCAAGCCAGAAGACCTGCAGCCCTGCTCCCCTCTTTCTGGAAAGATGAGCAGTCAACGCTGTGGCTTGGATCCACGTGATGAGCGTTTCGTTGATTCTTGTCCTAGGGTCTGGGAACCCCAATGAAGCTTCTCCTGATTGTAGAGGCAGAGTGTGGGGAAGCAAGTGGACAGCCTGTCTCTTTCTGTTCTCTGTTCTGCACTGGTGGGGTCTCAGTCAGCGCTCCTGAACTCAGGTCATGGTGAAATGAATATTTGGAAACTCACTGCTAAGCTATGAATCAGGGTGCACCTTTACTCCCTCCACCATGTAATAAATGCCAAGGACTAAGGTTTAAAAAAAAAGAAAGAAAGAAAGAAAGAAAGAAAGAAACAACATGGAGGCAGAAAAGAGGATAGTGAATACATGGCAGTAAAATAGTAACGTTTTTGAAATCTGGATGTAGGACATATGAAACACCACTTTAAAAAAACTTTATGAATCTGAAATTATTTTAAAATAAAATTCTAAAAGAAGATTCCTTAGATTGCAATTTGAGACATGCTGGCAAAGGGATCATAAAGGAAATGTGTCTAATTGACAAGTTTACCTGATTTCATACACAAATCAGGCACACTGCCAGCTAGTCAGTTCAATTCTACCTTCCCACCACAAAATGGGATTGTGTCTATTGATCTCATCCTCTCTTACTTTTCAGACATCTGTAATAACACAAATTTAGGTCATAAATGTATTGTATAACAATATTTTTTAATGGTTCCTATTCTCTTATCTGGAAAAAGAAAGATATTCCTTGTACTTCTGAAGATTACCTGCGTGCATGGGATTACCCTAATTTTGTATTTCATCATTTACATTTTCCTGGCATTCTTCTCTACAAAGCCAGGATTCTTTTATTTCATATTCATGACCCAATCCAATTTCCACAACCTCTGACATTCACATCTACGCCATTACTCTGTAAAGCCAGAAAATTAGCTGATTTTATATATTGTTAGCATGTCCAGCATAGGCCCAGCTGCAGACTTAATGGGCAATCTCTCCATTCCATCAATAGCAAAGAAGCTAATTATTCAATTATAGCGTAGAATGCTGTAAAGGAAATGGGGGAGAAAAAATCCAGGTACTTCATAAAGATTAGTTCTGAATACTTGGTAAAGTGTGATATAAGATAGGAGTCTCAATAATAGCCTATCTACTTGCTAAATGCTTCTGTGTTATGCTATTGGTTGGACAATAATAATTATTGAATCTTAACTTCTCTTTGAGCTATGGGAATAGTTTCATACTGCTCAAAAAAAAAAAAAAAATGTGAGCTGTCATCTATTTGGGGCTAGATTTCCTGGTATTGAAACCCAGGTGGAGAAGTCTAAAACATCAGCTGAGCACTTGGATTCCAGCTGTACAAACACACAACAGAAATGTAGGTGGAGTCTAGGAGTCAGCCCATTTGCGATACAACCCAGGAAACTTAGGTGTAGCTGAGCTTTCTTGGAAAGAAAATTGCAAACGAACTCTCAACCCCCCACAGTTTTCCTCCTACAGAAAGTATTGTGATGTCATTGAGAAGAATGGGAGAGGGAGTCTAAACTCCAGAAGTTTGCTTTGCTGTTTCCTTCCCTTTCCCTAAGGAGCAGTTACACACTGACGGGAGACCTTGGTCCTGAGCAGCAGCAGGCTGATCTCAGGATGCTAGACAAACAAAAGCAGGGAGAATTAGACCAAGAGCAAATATATCCTTCGAAATATATCTGCAGTAATCAGATAATAGTAACATCTGCTACTGCAATCACAAACCAGATCATGTTTTATCAGATGACATTACGACAGCCTGCATCGGTGTCATCAGTGAAACAAATGTCGCACTGTGGAATCTACAGCAAGAGGAAAGAGGCAGGAAATGTCATGCTACTAAGCTCCACTGAACAAGCGTAATGAAAATGTGTGTTGCCTTTGGGTCACTCCACAACTGCAAAGAGGTGGGGGTGGAACAGATAGCCTCCCACTCTATCCCCCTCCCTACCAATTCTGATTCCGTGGGAACAGGTGGCTCAGAAACAGACCTAACCTGGTGCATTAAAATTCTGACCTCCAGCTAACATCCACCTCTCCCATGTCAAGTCCAGGTCTAAAGGTAAGACACGAGAAAAGTTAACACAGGGGAGACCCAGATGTTCATGGATAAAATGTTGTTACTATCTGATGGTCACTGGACACTTAGTAAGAAAATAGAGAAAAAGGAAAAATGAAGTCTTTTCACCAACAGATCAGCTAGATATCACTGACCTACACTTAAAAATGGGTTTTTATTTATTTTGTGGGTTTGTATGTATATGGGTGTGCAGGAACCATCATGCCTCCTGTGAAGGTCAGAAGTCCAGAGTCCATTCTCTCCCTGAGTCATGTGGGACCATCAATCTCAGGCCACCCAGGCTTAGCAATGGGAGCTTTGACTTACCTACCCCTCTAGCTGATCCATCTCTGAGTGGCTTTTATTAGTTGAACCTGTCAATGAAGAGACTGCCTGAGCAAATAGCAGAGGAAACCTTTAAAGCAGGAAATGTGATTTTTAAAAAATCCTGTTTATTAGGAAGAAGGAGGGAGAGACACTGCAGCCACCATGAGGACAAGCAACATGTAAAGACACCGGTAAACCACCAGCCATGTGGCAAGGTATAGATTTATAAAAATGGGTTAATTTAAGATATAAGAACAGTTAGCAAGAAGCCTACCACGGCCATACAGTTTGTAAGCAAAAAAAAAAAAAATCCTGTTTATTATCTGGGCGGTGGTAGCACATGCCTTTAATCCCAGCACTCAGGAGTAAGAGCCAGGCGGATCTCTGTGAGTTTGAGGCCAGTCTGGTCTACAGAGCGAGATCCAGGAAAGGCGCAAAGCTACACAGAGAAACCCTGTCTCAAAAAACCAAAATAATAATAATAATATAAAAAATCCTGTTTATTAATAAGAGTCTGGAATTTAAAAAAATCATTTCACAAATCATCTTATTTCTAGTATCTTATTTGTTTGTTTGTTTGTTTGTTTAATGTATATGAATGTTCTGTCTGTATGTAGTCTCTGCATCAAATGTATGCCCAGTGTCTACGGAGACCAGAAGAGGGCATCAGATCTCCTGGGGCTGGAGTTACAGACTCTTGTGAGCAGCAATGTGACTTGAACCAGGTTCCCTGGGACAGCAGCTAGTGCTCTTAACCACTGAGCCATCTTTCTAGCCCCTTTCTTATCGTTGTATGCCCAATGATGGGTCTTCTCACTGTGTACAACCAACAGGCACCTGCTAGCCATAAGCAGAAGTGTCTCCATTCAGTGCTGGTGCTCCTGGTGCTTTGGATTGTGCTTTAGATATTGGTCCTCTAGTTTTCTAGTGCTCTCTACACGTACACCAAGAAATTGAGTTGCTAGTCCCACAGCCAGCACTCAGATGAGCCCTTCTGTCTCTGTTAAATTCAGTCCCAGATATCAGTAGTGCCTGCAGAAGAGTCATGGTCAATCCCGGTTCCTAAGCTATCATGGCAGTATTTAGGTGTCTAGACATGTTCAGATAGAAAAATCTCACTGCTAATAAGTGCTAAAAAGCAGTAAATACAGATTTCCCATTTATGTATTCTTTAAATAACTGCAAGGCTATCTGAAATTGCACAACATTCATTTCTGTCCTTGAAAAAATAAATCGCTATTCATCGGAATAGTTCATTGACTCTTTCTCTGCTGTATTCTCTCATTTTGACATTTGTTATCATTATTTTTGACCTATAATTACTGCATATATATCTGCATATACATTTCAATTTCCCTGTCTTAAAGATGTAGTGCATCTAAACTGAACTGAACTATTCCAACCCATTGGATGTTCCTTATTTATGCCAACCATTTGTTTGAAGATTCTCCTCCCAGACGCTCCCTAGTACCCATCTTCTCAATTCAGGCTAATCATCCATTATTCTGGAGCAGGTGTTCCATACACTCTGGGAAACAACGCTGGATGGATGCAGGTTGAGAATCCAGCAAGTCTTCAGAGATGCTATGCTGAGAACTGTGTGCCTCACTTTCTCACTCTACTTCACTGCATTCCCACAGTAGTACATGTACCTGTAATCACAGAACTGGGGAGGTGGAGACAGGAGGATCCCTGGCACTCACTAGCTCTCTGGTCTAGCCTAAATTAGTGAACTTCAGGCCAATGAGAAACCCTGCTCCAAAGGAGGTGGATAAGTTTTCTGAGAAACAACACCCAAGTTGTCCTTTGGCCTCCACATATACATTCACACTCACATACAAGCACAAACATATATGTACATGCATACACATACACAAACACATGCACTAAAATTCAAGGAAAAATTCAAAATGAAGTATGTTTGAGAAGGCTGTATTTGAACCTGTAGTTTTCCAACTCATGTAAAAAAAAGTATATAGTAAGAGGGAATAGCAGAACATATTAGATATAAAAATGATGGAGATAGGGGACATAGACTAAAAATTGGAGATAGAGGCAAGTGGATGGAGAAAGGGAGGACATAGTAGGTAGATTAGCCAAAACCAAGAGCATATGAAGAAGTCTTATGAAAACCCAATAGTTTGTAAGCTAATTATATAACATACCTGCATGCATGCATGCATGCATACATACATACATACATACATACATGTGTGTGTATGTGTGTAAGTTTGAACAAACATACCCTATATATGTGAAAAGCACCACTCCTTGAAAACATTGTTATTAAGCAAAAATCTCAGCACCCAGCCCAGGTTACCTCCCTATGAGTTATTGATGATGGAGGCCCAAGGGGCACCCAAAACAACACAAGCTAGTGCCATTGCTTTGGGTTGTCCACTATAACTAGATGGTAAGATCCTACTGCTAAAGAAATGACACACTGGTTGCAGAACACAGAGAAATCAAAACTAGCCAGGAAACTAATATCACTTCCTCTCTGCTGGCTAGTTTTCATAGTACCAGAAGGTGCTATTCAGGCTGCTAGGGGAATAATAAAAGACATGAGCAGTCTTACATAGCACTAGACCCTGTGTGATATAATACCAACTAGGAGGCAAGTTATGCCTCCTGGTACAATAGCAGTGAGGTTGCTTATGGGGATAAAATACCAGTTTCTTGATTGAATTTGAGGCTTGCTCCAGAGGAAGCAATTCATGTCTTGTACTGTGAACATGCTCAAAACCCACAGCTAGGGAGGGCATAGGCCCTAACAGGGAACTACTGCTGTTGTTTTGCTACATAGTCATGTTGTCCAACTGCGCTCTGGATATTTCTGTTTACATGAATATATTAGTGTTGTGCTCAACCAAAGAGAAGCTTCTCATTACAGAGGGCAGTGGCTGATGCAGAGACTCATAACTATTTGAAGTACTGAAAGTAAGCAACCTGCCCAAACCCACATCTACAAGACCCGGGGAACATTTCAGAAAAGTGGGCAAAAAGAGTGCAAGAGCCAGAGGATGGGGAAGAGTGCTCTGAGGTACTCTTTGGGGTATGGTATGGCTGATACCCTCAAACTCATAGCCCCTCTGATGGTTTGTACAAGACCTGCACAAGATCAAGTCAATAAAACAATTTAGCATGTGGCAGGGAAAGTCTACTGAGGCCCCACCCCTGTCTGAAGAGCTATTAGCAGGTGAGTAGCCAGAAGAGGGAAAGTCACTTTGCTTTGGGGAAGGTGTTCTGGTTTGGTTTCGATTGCTCTGATAAACATCATAAACAAAAGAATTTTGGGGAAGGGGGTTTATTTTATCCTACAGATTATAGCCCTTCGTAGAGAAAAGCTAAGGCAGAAATTTAAGTGAAGAGCATTGTACAGAAACCAAGGAGGAGTACTGCTTACTGGCTTGCTCAGCTGGCTTTCTTTTCTAGCTCAGGCTCATCTGCATAGGTTTGGCACCTTCTAAATAGGCTCAGCATCCCTAGTCAATAAGCAGCTAATAAAATACCTCACAGACATGGCCACAGGCCTATCTGTCCTGCTCAATTCTTCACTGAGGTTCCCTCTTCATAGGTGACTCTAAGTTTGTGCCAAGTTGAGAGCTGAAGCGAACTGTGACAAGGCATGACCACTAGTAGATCGCTCATGCCTCAGTGGATCACCTACACCCCTGAGCGTATGAGCAGAACTCAGTGGGTTAAAAGCAAAATTAAAGAAGAGAACGTGAAGTGGGGAGGAAAATGTGTTAGGGAGAATTGGGGGTAAAGTGGCAGAGGGTGAATGCGATCAAGAGGCATTTATAAAATATCCAAAGAATGAATGAAAATAAATTATAAGTAGGCAACACTAATTGGACTCAGTGGGTTACATTAAAAAGAGAGAGAGGACATGAATTTGATAGAGAGACATATTGGAGGTTGTCTGGGAGGAGTAAGATGAAGGGATGTGGAAATAATCAAGATACATTGTATACATGTATGAAATTGTCAAAGAATCAATAAAAATCCTTAAAAATAAATCAAATAACTTTTGAAAGAATGTCAAGTTCTCTGTAGACCACCCTGAATATGTTCCCCCATCAGGTCTGGCCATCAGATTTTCATGCTTCACTTTGATTTTCTGTATAATTGCGGTGGAGTTGGAAATACTTGGCTTCCCCTGCCCTGGTTTGGTTGTCGGTTGGTTTTTTTGTCCAACAGTTTAATGAGGTGTAGCATAAGCAGGTGCACTTTTACAGCTGGCCTCTAGAAGCAGCCCCGAGGCTAGCCCACACCAAAAGTTGAAGATCACTGCTGACCAAAATCCCAAACTCATTTTTTGCTCGTAGCTTTTCTTGTATCAATTTTCATAAATCACCGTGCTCCCGTGGTCTAGATAAACCTCAGTCCCCATCAAAGATAACTTACCTTGTAAGCACAGAACTCAGAGTAAACAGAAAGAAAATGCAAAGCCCAAGTTAACAGATAGTCTAAGAAGAAGTACTTTGGCAACTCACATTCTGTTTGTCAGGCATTCCCACTCAAATGGAAGGCTTTGGGGCTAGGAAAGTAAGATCACAAATTATATCTACTTGACACAGTTGTTTTCAGACAAAGCAAGTTAAACATGGAGTGTGCTAGAACATATTGACAACAGCAGGAGCTCCCGGGCCTGGTAGCTCAGGCGGCCCTGTGTGCCATAGGGCAAGGATGCTACCGTGACTGAAGGTGATCATCAAAAACTACTTTTCTTCATTTAAAGCTATGAGAGCAGATGACATGGAAAGAGATTGCATCTGCTGGATCTTTTCTTCCCCTTCCTAAATGAAAAAGCAAGCCTGTTCTAGTAAAAGCCCAATTTACTGGAGTGTGTTTTCCTCTTATGGAACTTCCAGAATACCAAAAAGGCATTTGTCATCCATGTTCCCTGCAGGGTGCATCATTGAGCTGCTTCTCTCTCTCTTCTGCTGCGCTGCAGTGGAAGTATTTAAAGTATTGACATTTGCATTTTGATCTGACCATCGGTCTGACAGGCAGTGTCATACTGACAGCTCAAGGGGTTGTTGGCATTGCTGTTGATTTTTCCAGCTTCCAGTGTAACTAAACATGCATGTGTCAGAGTCTTCTCAAGGAGTCAGCCTGTCTGCTGTGGCCTCACACTTCCTCAATCCACATAGAGCAAATCTAAGGGAAGGCACAGGCACTCATTG